GAAGGAAGGAAGGAAGGAAGGAAGGAAGAAAGGCAGGCAGACTGACAAGGCTGTTACTGTTGCTGTTGCATGAAGCAGAATTTTTTTTTTTTTTTTTTTTTTTTTTACAGGCAGAGTGGACAGTGAGAGAGAGAGACAGAGAGAAAGGTCTTCCTTTGCCGTTGGTTCACCCTCCAATGGCTGCCGCGGCTGGTGCATTGCTGCTGGCGCACCGCGCTGATCCGATGGCAGGAGCCAGGTACTTATCCTGGTCTCCCATGGGGTGCAGGGCCCAAGGACTTGGGCCATCCTCCACTGCCTTCCCGGGCCACAGCAGAGAGCTGGCCTGGAAGAGGGGCAACCAGGACAGAATCCGGCGCCCCAACCGGGACTAGAACCCGGTGTGCCGGCGCCGCAAGGCGGAGGATTAGCCTAGTGAGCCATGGTGCCGGCCATGAAGCAGAACTTTTAATCGAAGACGATTTGGGCACTACTTTATGTGCTATGTAAAACATAACTTGTAATCACATGTCAGATCTGTTATCTGCATTGGCTGCACCACCCTGTATAATATTCCCAATCTCCTGATATCTTGCTAATTATTCCATTTATATCTTCCTTCCACATTTCCACTCTCCTAAATTACCATGACATTTTGAAATCTCCTCTAAGAAGAAACATTTCTCTCTCTCTACCCATTCCTAAACTTGCATAGTCACTGATTAAAAAAAAAATATTTAGTAAGGTTCATCTTTTCTGAGAGAATAATTATGGTTATAAGTAATTCATACTAAAAACTAAAGCATTTGGACATGATACTGAGAGGAAGGTAGTTGTCAGGTTTAAAGTAAAAAGAAATAAAACTCACCTTAACATTATAAAATGGTTCTGCTATACTCCACAGATATTATTTAAATAACCCTTTCAATAGGTAAAAGAAAAAAAAAACTATGAAATTATACTTAACTTTGTTTTCCTTAGTTGAACCCTAAAATTATTTAACAGAATAACTAAGAGGAAAATCAAACTTACTTTTCATTTTTATCCTGTTTCCAAACAATCACTAGTTTTATTGGCAAGGATATCTAGCACACGTGACTTATGTATAATGAATACTAACTTTGGAATCTAAAGCTTAGGACAATTTAGCAAATCACTTAACCCTTTATTTGTCTCTGTTTGAATGTGGTGGTGTGTTTTAGTTTAGCTGACATAACAAATTATCATATATTTAGTGGCTTAGAACAAAATGATCTTAAAGTTCAATAGGTCAGAAGTCATATGGGTCTCATTGGGCAGAGCATGTTCCTTTTGGGAGACTATAGAGAAGAACTGGTTTTCTACGCTTTTTGCACTCAAGAGGCTGCACACCTATTCCGTGACTTTTGGCCCCCTTTCTCCATTGTCAAAGCAAGCAATGGTGTTGAGTCTTTTTCATATCACATTTCTCTGACCTCATCTCCTGTCTTCCTCTTACACTTTTAAAGGCCATTGTGATTACATGGGGCCCACCAAGATAGTCTAGAATGATTACCCCATTTTAAAGTCAGCTAATCAGAAATCTCAATTTCCCTTTGTCATGTAGGTAAGGTAATATATTCACAGATTCTAGGAATTAAGACATGGATATTTTTAGAAAGAGCATTCTTCTGCCCACAATATCAGGTAACAGAATATTTGTTGTATCTCGAACCAAAAAGATCTATGACTTTATGATAAAGTACATAAGGTACTACCTCCAAGGCAGCTCCACTGGGGAGAACTGCTTGTCTTTACCAATACCATCAAATAAGTCCTCTGTAGCACACATTGTTGTGCCTTTTTTTTTAAATTGAGTGTTGAACTTCCATTCCATCTTCTTTTGATAAGGGGACATTTCTGCTTTCACTGAAGAGTCTTATGAGACCACTAATCATTCGCCTCATCCTAGGTAAGAAGCAGAGACTTCCTAAGGTCGGCCATTGGACTTCTCCCCTCAGAAATGGAACTGTGGGAAAAGGAACAAGACTGAGAGGAGTTTCCCACTCCCACTCCTTGGTGGTTGTATCAAGGATAGATGCCAAGCAGCCACTGTGATTTCAACACTGGCGCTGCCTGGTTTCTGAATGTCCCCAACTGCTTCTCTACCTTTCCTTTCATTTCTACAAGCATCTGTATATCCTTCCAATACATTTCTGTTTTGCTTATACATATTCATTAGGATAAATTTCTAGCATCAATTTCAAACTGCTGCTCTTGTCTCCTTTTTGACCTCTATGACCATATTTCCTGGTTCTCTTTGATTTTGTCTGACCATGACAGGCTCCTGCTATACCAGGCTTCTTTTCTGACCTCTTTCTTCTTCGTCCATCCTTAGCAGCCTTCTTCTGGTTTACATGTTATCTCCATTTCTTTCAGAGCTGTGGCTTTGACTCTAGTCTTCGTAGTGAACTCAACAATATTTCTACTGATCTGACTTTATATTTGCTTTGCTGTTCATCATCCCCATATAGATGTCCCACTGTCAACTCAAATTCAATATGAACCAAGTCACAGATCTCTCATTAATATAAAAATAAATTTTTTCTCCTTTATTCTGGATCTCTCTTATCCAGTCACCTAAGATAGGAAACTGAAGTTTTAGTCTTTCATTTCCACTATATTGGGTGGCCGTTGTTTTTGTCTACCTTATTCAAAGACTTCTAGAAAACTGAAATTCTCTTATTCCATGTCAAAGTCCCTTGCACAAGAATAATCATGTGATCCATGTGAAACCAATAAAAGGAAGAGAAAACATGAAACTCTTCAGTACAGTGAGTAGCTAAACTGGAAGGATGTAAATCTGTCAAGTGGGCAGAAACTATTTAGTAGAACACAGTCAAATGTATAAAAAGAATAAGGGCCAATAAGTGGAGATACATAGCCTTAAATTACTGGATCTACTTAAACCTAAAACCATGTCCAACCTAGACTTTCCAGTTCTATGACTCAAAAAATTCACTTTTCTCAAGCTAATTTGAATTTGATATCTATCACTTATATTATACTTTAGAGTCCTGACAGACAACAAACCCTACTGATCTTAACATTGAAATGTCTCACAGGCACCCTTTTTCTCTTCCACCACTACCACAATATTTAATACCTTCATGTCATTCTTCTATTACAACAATCACTTTACAGGTCTACTTGCTGCCATTATATTGCTTCTTCAGTGTATCCGTCATATTGCTATCAAAGTTAGCTTATTAATAAGATGTAAGATTATGTTACCACTCTTTTAAAATAACTTAAGTGGTTCTCTATCACATAATAAACAAAGCCCACATATCTCAATGGAATTTAAGTTTTCTCAGAATAATCACAATTTGGTTTGAAGGTTGCAAATGTTACTGCATTCTTCCATAAAATCTGATCTAGTATGACACAGGGATAATTTCCATGGAAGCCTCTGCTCGTGTGATTTTAGTTCTCAACAATCTTCCCCACATATTTAACATCAAATTCCAAAGCTGAATTCTTATATGGTCTGTGATTCAACAGCACTTTCCTTTTCATTTCTTTAATGAGTCACTTATATTTATACTATAGTAAAAATTTTAATTTGTCTTATTTTTATAGAATTACTTATACATCCATCTTCCCTTGCACAAAAACTTCATGAGGGTTCATATTTGGACTGTGCATAATGCTTTGCACATAGGAACTCATTAAATCCACTATAACCAAATCTATTGAATGACTGTTGAAACCTAAGTGAAAGAAAACACAATGTTATTAAAAGGTAGCAGGCAGATTTATAGTTACTGAATCTCTATTATATAACCAAAGTTATCCTGGGTGATTTTATAGATTATTTAATTTAATCCACGTATTGTTACACTCAGGAAACTAAGACCAAGGGAAATTAAGTAATTTATGTGGAGATCACATATGGTAGTGAAACCCCAATATGAGCTTAGATTTTTGTCTGCAAATGTTGAATCCTTTCTACCTGACTATACCGTACTTTGGTTTGTCAATATCAATAACATCAGCATGTTAATCTCATTAGCCAGATTCTCCTTTTTTTCACCTTGGTCAAGATAGGCTCCAGTTACAAACTGAGGTTTCCTAAAAGATTTGCACAATTTTTGGCAATCTCATAAAGCAGCAAGTGTTTTGTAAATCTGAATCTTTGTTCTGCATGTATATGTGAAAAAATGTATAGCACACCACTGAAATTCACATTTAACAACAGTTTCAATAAAAACACACTAATAAAGCAAGAACAGTGGAAAAAAATGTAAACTTTGAGAGTTCCTATATATAAGAAAGGAAATCATTTTTCTCCTCTTCTGAACCTGCTTTGTTTTCTCATTTGTATTCTAGTCCTTCTGCAAAAGAAGTAAGCTATAATTCTACTCTGGGGCTAGCTCATTTTTGTTGACTTTTTACCAGGTTACTTAATCAAAGTCAACTACTTTAGTTTTCTTATTGAAAAAGAATATTCCACAAAATGCATAACAAACTTCAGATACTGAATTCATTATTGAATAAAGCAGTTGGGATTACTCCCAACAAGACAACTTCGTACTGTACTAGCATGATTTGAAGAATTATAACATTTTAGCTGTACATTTACTTCCTCATTTGGAAGCATTATTTTGCACTTTGCCTTATATTCATAGGGGTGCATTTGGTTTAGGAATCTTATCCAATAATAAAATATTAGACTATAAAGATTATGGATTATTAGTCAAAATAATCACAACCCTGTGATGGTTAAATTAGTCTTCACTTGCGTTTATTTGATGTAAAGTAAAATATAAAAACAAAATGACTCAGTCATTATTGTTCAGTAGTTATCAGTTTCAAGTTTATCTGTTCCACTGACCATAAAAGAAAAACAAGTATTTTTGACATACATTATGTTTATATGCTGCTTTACTTTGAAAGGACTCAGAAATCAAGTTGACAATATAAGTAAAAACTAGAAAATAAATGAGTAAAAATTTACTCATTCTCTCATTCTTTCCCTTTTCTCATTCTTGAGTGAACAGATGATTCTAGGAAGAAGGGAGCCAAGGCTCCTTGTTCCTAAGCCTTCATTTCCTCATCTGGAAACTAGAAATAATAAAACCTAATCTTAATGAGGATCAAGATTGTTTCTGCCACACAGTGATTGCAGGTAATCTGATGCTTTGCCTTTTACTCTTTGAGTGACCTTGACCAAGTGACTGCATTTCTTTGGCATTTTATTTTAAACATTTATAAAATGGTGCTAATATCTATTTCTCTTATGTATGTTTGTTGTGAGGGTCAGATAAGATAATGATACATGAAAAATTTTTTATAAAGTACTAGAAAATATGAAGTGAGCATTTGGTTTAATAACTAAAACACTCTTTGGAACAACTGCATCCCATATCAGAGTGCCTGGGTTCAATTCTCAGGTCTGATTTTAGTTCTAGCTTCTGGCTAATGCACACCCTGGGAGGCAGCAGTTAATGGCTTGAATATTTGGGCCCCCGCCACGGAAATGTGAGGTGAGAACTGAGTTCCTAGCTCTTGGCTTCACCTAAGCCCACCCCTAGCTGTTGTGGGCATTTGGAGTTGAACCAACTAATGGGAGCTGTCTCTCTGCTTTTCAAATGAATACATTTAATTAACTCATTCATTCATTAATTAAAAATAAATTATTGAAAAAAGGATAATTATTTCTTAAAGCTACCACTGATAGAATTTTCCCTGCTACATAGTCTTACATGTTCTGAGGTTAGCCAAAATATTATATGGAAAGGGAGGCTGTCTGTTTTCTGTATGACTCGCTGTTGAGTTTCTTGAGCCGACAGGCAGAGTGGACAGTGAGAGAGAGAGACAGAGAGAGAGGTCTTCCTTTTGCTGTTGGTTCATCCTCCAATGGCCGCCGTGGCCAGCGCACTGCGGCCGGCGCACCGCACTGATCCGATGGCAGGAGCCAGGAGCCAGGTGCTTTTCCTGGTCTCCCATGGGGTGCAGGGCCCAAGCACCTGGGCCATCCTCCACTGCACTCCCGGGCCACAGCAGAGGGCTGGCCTGGAAGAGGGGCAACCGGGACAGAATCCGGCGCCCCGACCGGGACTAGAACCCGGTGTGCCGGCGCCGCTAGGCGGAGGATTAGCCTAGTGAGCCGCGGCGCCGGCCATGACTCCCTTCTTAATAAGTCTGCTTCCCTGGAAAAAGATCTAGATCTGGTGCAAAGCAAAGACATTTGTGGCCCAAGGTAGCAATTGTCCCACACTAGTCCAATCGTTCAAGAATAACTGGAAAAGTAATAAAACTTCTGCCTCTTCTAGAATTTAGAAACAATTCTTGAAATAGTCTTTTAGATATCACCCAAACAGTGGCTCCCTAGAGGGAAATCATTTTTAATATAGAAAACAACTTGTATGTAGTTATAATAATTATGAATGTTAACCAATCAAACTGTACTTTTAAAGTATAAGCTTCATTGAATCAGAGCAGCAGTGTAAGATAATATAAAACTGAAGTAACCATATAAAGAAAAAATAAAAATGGTAAAAATTTTAAATAGATTTTTTTCCATTAGCAAATAATATACTTCCTTAAGCAATGATAAATTGAGAAAACAAAATAATTTTATTTTTATGTGTTAATTTTCCAGGCTATTATTACATCTAACTTTATAAGAGCTCTCTCCTTTTCAAATTAATGAATTATTAAACTTATGGCTCCCCTCTCATTAGAAACATAGAATTCAAAACTACATGATGGCATAGACATTTAGCTAAGTGGGTAAGATGCCCACATCCCATATTAGAGTACCTGAGTTCAATACCTGGCTCTGGCTCCTGACTCTAGTTTCCTGCCACCAACCATGTGGGAGAACTGGACTGAGTTTCTGGTTACTGGCTTCCACCTGATCCAATTTGAGGTACTGCAGGTGTCTGGGGGAGTGATCCAATGAGTGGAAACTCTCTTTCTTTGACTCTCTGTACTTCTCTCTTTCTCTCTCTGTGTGTTTGTAATGGCAAGTGACATATTATGCATTTAACTACTCTTTTATTATTAGTTGGTCTTTAAAAAGGCATGCATTTAAAAACTGAACCAGTGAAGGCAATATGATTATTCCAAGAGTCTAAAAGGATTTGCTCCAAAAATAGAGTATAAAATTTTTATTATATATATGGTTCGATGCTAATGACTTTTTAATTTATGCAGGCCAAAATGTCACAACCAAAAAACTAAACGTGGTATTGTTGCCTGCTGATACAAAATCTCACATCATCTAATCAAAATCTTTGGTTCCATATTGTTTTATTTGGATTTATTGGAAACCCAGAAAACAATATAATGAATTTCCATCAAGAAGAATACTCATTGTGCATCTACCTTTTCAACTCTATAGACTTCAAATATTGGAAATGCAATTTACTACAGCATACACATTTGACTGATAGCATGATGGACAGACTCTCAGACTTTAGAACCCAAATGCCTAGGCTCCAACCTTGCTCCTGCCAGGTAACAGCTGGATACCACTGGGTGCGTTAGTTAACTTCTCCATGTTGTCTGTTAATAAGTACCAGGCTGTATGGCATTGCGTTCTAAGGATCAAATGAGCTACTGCTTGTATTTGGAATACATTATGCATGATGTAAATATGTGATATTTTTACAAAACTAACAATAAGAAGAGTTTACTGAGAAACTCCTACAGTTACCATTCTGTTTTTTTGTGAGTATTGAAGCTTTTTCCTTCTTCTTTTTTTTTTTTTTAATCCTGAGAAATTTCCTCAGCTTATTTTCAAGCCAACAGGTATTCATTAAACAACTGCAGTGCCTGTGGACACAAAATACATTCATGTATTATCTGCCCCTCCGAGAGGACTCACTCTACTTTAAATTCGGAATAAATGTTCACAAAACAAAGTCCAAAGGAACATGCAAGAAGAAAATACTAGATGGCCGCATAAAACGACCTGATAAGTAAACTTAATAGCAACCCAAGTAACCTAATTTCTGTATTAAAACAAATGCACTAACAATGGCGAATGTATTTTATTTTGAGATCTACAAAGTTGCTAAGTACAATGCTCCACATCCACCGAAATTCTGCAGAAACAGTAACGTTTTCTTCATCTTCCTCTGGGACGTCTGACAAAACCTGCGAGTGAACAACCTCACTGCAAACATCCCAGGGCTAGGGTACCAGAGCCCAGGAACCGGAAGGACAACAATGTAGGCTCCGCGAGTACCTGCATCTGCCAGGGAAACACAGGCTTGACCCAGGACCCTAGCAGGGACCGGGCTTATACCGCGGCCCAGAGGTTTCCCTTCGCGTGCCGTCTCCAGCCCGACGGTGCGGTTCCTCTCCGGCCCGGGCGGGGAGAAGGCAGCCTTCGAGCTAGGAGCCGCCGCGTTGCACAAGGAAAGCAACCCCGGCCATCTCAGGACGTCGGGGGCCCAGGCGGGGAGCGCTAGGCAGGAGAGGATTCTCCGTTCTTCACAACTAACGGTTCTCACGCCGCCTCCCGCTACCTCGAGGACGGGCGCCCGAGTGCCAGACGGGGGACACAGCAGCGAGGAACCTCCCCCGGCCGCCTCTGCGCCCCATCTCAGTCCACTGCCCCCCAGCTAAGCAGAGCGGGGACCCACCGCGGGCCCCCCGGGCCCGGGCCCGCACGTCACTTCCGGCGCGCGCGCCCGCCCGCCCGCGGAGATATACCCGGGCTAGGGCCGAGCCCGGGGCGCGCTGCTGTCCGGGGGCGCGCAGGGAGGGCGGGCTGGGGGAAGGGGGAGTGTCTGCCCGCCGCCGCTGCCGCCGCCGCCGCCGCTACCCCACCGCTGCCGCCGCCGCCGCCGCCGCCGCCGCTGCTGTGGAGTTGGCTGAATCCCTTTCCTCAGACCCGGCCCGGTCTTCCCGCCCGGATCGCGGGCACCGGGGCGCAACCCTTGCTCTGGCGGGTGCAGAAGCGGGAGTTGGCTTAGACTGTGGAACGGCGGAGTCGGCCCCAGCCCCCTTCCTCTCCCTGACCCCTTCTTGCCATCGCCCCAGTCATGGGGAACGCGGCGACCGCCAAGAAAGGCAGCGAGGTGGAGAGCGGTGAGTCGAGGGCTGGGTCTGGGGACGCGCTGGGAGAGCCAGGGCGGGACCCGGAGCGCCCCTCTCATCACAGCCCCCGAGGCCGCGGGCATGGCCCAGGCCTAGCGGCGGCCGCTGGGAACCAGTCCTGGGGCCCCGGGGACCAGCTGCCTGCCTCCCCCACGCCCTCCGCCAGCTCCGGGGTGAACGCTGAGCGTGAAGGGCCGGATGGGGCGAGCCAAGGGAAAGCGGTCCCGCGATGCCCTTTCTCTTCAGAGCGAGCGGGACCGCACACATCCTGGGACACTTCCCCAAAGGTGGTCCAGGAGAAGTCCCGTGTGCCATCCCACCCGAGCCCCTCGCTGGGCGCCACAGGTAGTGCTGTGGGTAGACTTCGCGCTCTCCACTCCATCACTTGGGTCCAACCCAGCCTCTCGCAAGGTGAGGGGCTGCGAGGCTGGCTCTCCGCAAGGAAGTTAATCCCGAGTCTTAGCGATCCTTCATCTCTTCTGATTAGGAATGGAAAACGTAGTACGACCAAACGGCAATTTGACCCGTTAGAGGAAAAATCGAAGCAGGTGTGCTTTATCTCTAGCCACCCCCCTCCCCGAATCTACTGCACTGCTTGTAAAACTTAAAGGTCATGCGGAGTTGAAGTGCTTCTAGAACACTGGTGATTTCTTCTGAGAGCTGAAAGTGCGTGCGGGCATTCAACACTTTACACCAAACAGCAAAAATCCATACCCACTGAATTGCCCTGTGGCTGTGGCCGTGGCTGTGTGGTTTTCTGTGTGTTTGCATTGTTGTTGTTGTTGTGAAAGAAAATTGGTTTGCCTAGGCAAGGTTCATGTTAGATTTTATAATTCGGAATGACCAAATAACACCATTTGATATTTATTATATCATTAGGAGTAAATGACATCTCAGCTCTGGAACTGAACCTGGTAATTTATTGAAGTTCATGTACATAGTATCTTTTAATGTTTCTATGTTTGTAACTTAAGAGTTAGGCTACTTTTGTAATTAAGGTGAAGCGAATAGCTTTTTTTTTTTTTTTTCTGTATTGAAGCAGAATTGATAGAGAAGGATTTAATCATTCATTTTGTTTAATGTGAATGAAATCAACTGATTATATGGCTTGTGTCTCATCAATAAGGTTTTGGTGTTAATTTTCAGGAGCTCCAGAAAAGTTTGATGAACTCTCATACAAACTTTATGAGCATACTTTAGTTAGTGTGATCTGGAGATTTTTTGAAGTAAGCGTGGAAGTAGACCTTGGGTTATCTTTTTTAAATTGCACAAAATTGGTAACCAGCTGTACAAAAATGTAACGAATTCAGAAAATATGAAGAATTATTTGTACCTGACAAGTTGATGTTTTCCCTGTTCATTTAAAGCTCTGCTGACTGAAAGATAAAATCTGTGCTAATTAAATTACAAAAGCATGTGTGAAGATTGAATCACATCAGTGATTTTCTTTAGTGAGTGGTATCTTGTACAGTGTTCATATTTCTAATGATGGTAGTAGACTCTTCTGTCATCTATATATTTCTGTTAATAAGTTACCAAATCAGTTCTTATCCAGATAGTGTTAATTTGAAACTCACAGCTGTGACAAACAATTGGAATATCTGCAGAAAACAGAATAGAAACTTTAAATGCATATCTAAACATATTTAAATGATTCCTATGAGTAACTTTTTGTCTAAAAT